ATAGAGACATTGAATAGGGTAACAAGAACAAGAAGAAAAAAAATTTGTAGCTAGAAGACCTGAATGGCCAGACATGGCTAGGAGAAGCACTAAGCTCACAAGTAACGCAGCCATTTTTTTCACTTCAAGATCCTCAACAAATTAGAAACCACAAAACCCTCTTCACCTTTCCCTATTAAAGTTGGTGTGTAGAGAGAGAGAGTAGAGAATGGAGGTTTCTAGACAGGGATGACAAGTTGGCTTGAGAGGTGCAAGTGACTAGTATGTAGTACTGCACTTTTTATTTAAATACATAAATAATGAATGTGTGTGTATTTGGGGCAGCATTATTTTATATATCATGTTTGTTTATTGGATTGTGATTAATTTTATTTGGGAATAGCAAAAAACAGCGTTTGCAAAGCTCAAAGCTCTTTTCTTTCTTTTTTCCTGTTCTGTAAATGACTGACCGTGTTGTACAATGTGCATGTGTGATGTGTGTATTGTCCTTGGGGCTTTCCTCAAACGGTCATAAACTCGTGTGTGATCACAACTTAACCCAACTTTGGTTAGCCCTACCATTGTTCCCTTTCCATTTTTTTTAACCTATCAAAAATTCAAGTTTGTTTACAAAAACAGATATATTAATAAATAAAAAAAAATCTAGACTACAAAAGTTAGAATAGTTGAATCAACCAGCTAATAAAGATAAATTTAAGAGGAATGTACATAGAGAGCCTAAATTCATCACTAATACAAACACCAAATTAATTGAGAACAACGACTACCACACCAATACATTTTAAAGTTTAATGTTAAATCGTCGTTCGTGCTACAGATTGCAAGAGATGTTCCTGGATGTTCGTTGACGCCTCTCCGAACATCTACATCATTCAAGACAAGTGAAATTATTTTAACATAATTGTTGACGTAAGGATGACCCAAAAAATGTGCATATTTAATAGTTGTTGATTTTAAAAAGTGACGTGATGTGTAAGGATGACCCAAATTAATGTGCATATTTAATAGTTGTTGATTTTAAAAAGTGACGTGATGTGTAAATTGAAGAAAATTTGGTTTTCCACCAATTTCATTGTTTCACTTTTCATAAATGGAATACTTATAAAATCCTCAAAGTTATTTTAACGTAAAAAAAAATTTAGTTCTAAGTGTTATATATGAAAATAAATGAGTTTTAGTAACTTAGCTTAGAAGTTGTTTGGAGTCGAATACAAATAAGCTCGAATCACAAAAAGGTCTAAAGTCGCAAATAGTATAGTGCAGAAAATTGGTCCGGTCGCGACCTAAGAGTTAGGTTCGTCACGACTCAACAACAACCATCACGGCATGACGACCCCAAGAGTGTCGCCCAATGTCTGAAGGGCGCGTTCAGGTCGCGACGCCCGTTATGGGCACAACCCTAGTCGCACCTGTTGGCTACCAAGAGATTTTGACTCGACTGGTTATGTCGGTTTCCATTCAGGCTCATCCATAAAGGTGTCATTAGATCCTTAAACTTTCTAGAGGTAGTTTTCTACATCTTTAAATACCCTCATGCTTGAATCATTCACTCACTTGTAATTTAAGTGCTCTTGCATTATATTTTTAAAAGCTGGTCACATAGCATATTGTGTTATTTGATTTTTCATTAAGTCACTAGAGTTTTCAAATATTAGTATTGTTCGTGGAAGAATACTAGTATATTTAAAGTACCGATATATACAAGTCAAAAATCGTTGTATTTTAGAGACATGTGCAACTAATCGTTGTATTTTAGAGACATGTGCAATTAATTGTACGGGACAACTGCGTACGTCTTACAGAGATCATAATCATTATGTGTCTCGACTTTTACTTTGATTTCTAGTTTCTTCATTTTACTTAAATCATCTTCTTGATATTCACATATACCATACAAACAACATAAAGTAATGAGAATCGTGGTATACTGATATTTGTTATAGGAAATGCTCCAGTACCAACGGTGGGTACCGTTGGTACTGGAGCATTTCCGTATTTGTTATTATGTCATGTAATATAATTCCAACCATTAACTTCAAAACTTACTAAAAAAATAGAAATAAAAATCTCATTTATCTATAAATCACCCTATATGCCATCTAGTGGGCCTTTTTCATTTTTACCTCCTTCGTTGAAAATCTTTTTAGGTGGAAAAAAGTAGATTCACCTTTTACTATTTATGATCACTTTGAACAATTTTGTCTTGTTGAGTGATAAGGGGTGATTAGATATAGTTTCACTTGTAAAAAAAGCCAATTAAAACTCAAATTTAATTCAACTTTAATCCAATTCCACTATTTTCAATATTATCAACATAATTAAATAATATCAACTAATCATTCTTATATATCACATCAACTTTAATTCACTATTCATCCACTCACATAATTTTAACTAATCATCACTTCCAATCATTTTTCTCTTACTTTATATCAAATCAACTTTAATTATTTTATTTAAATATTATTTTAATATATCCACTAACCACTAATCATACAATATTTTTTCAAAATTAACTATAATTAAAAAATAAATCAAATAAAAATTAATTGAATCCATAAACAATCACCCCCTAAAACACTTAAAATAAAAGCCGGAAGTAGAAATGGTTTAGATGCTGAGGATAACCTTTAAGTAAATGCGTGGTAGACCTTCAAATTGAAAGTAGCTAGTGAGAATGATATGCACCGACAAAAAATAAGTAGTACAAAATTTGGTTACAACTTATAAAAGATCCACAAATTCGAGGATATATACAAATGATGTGATTCACAATAAATATTATAACACGACCTAAAACATGACATGAATAATATGAAACAAAGAATTTTGTTAAATTTTAATTTATTAACATATTTGAAATCAGGGCCGGCCCTAACTAATGTTAAAGTGGGCATTGGCCATGGGGCCCCAAATTTATATCTACATTATATATAATATATATCTGTATGGATTTTTGTTAGTGAATTTTTCTACTAATTAAAAAGCCCACAAAAAAATTAGTTTTTATTGGCCCAAGCCCAAACATATATAAGGAAATAATCATAAGCAATAAAAAAAAAATCAAAGTCACTTTTTCTTTTGGAATTGGAAGCAACGGGAAAGGCAAGTGGAGAGAATATCAAAATAATGTTTCCATCAATATTCCTCATCTAACATTTCTACACAACTTCCCATGCTCAGATAAAGACGGTAGGGAAAGAAAAAAAAAAGTATAAAGGTGGTAGGCTAAGATGACAACAAGGATACTTGGGAATGAAGAGTAATATAATTTCCTTCTCGTAAACACCATTGTGCACTATACTCCTCCCCATTTTTATAGCACCGTGCTTTGCTTTTCTTTTTCCTTACGTCTATTTCCAAGTTGTACTTTCTAACGGGCGGAAATTTTTTTGAGTGTAGCGGATAAACAATTTGAAGCAACGACTCAGTCTTCAATTGATTCAACTATTTATTCGCGAAAGTGAAACACCCAACCGAGAGACCTACTACAATTATTATGGTTTTTTGGGTTTGAAGATCATTATTCAAGGCATAAATCAGGTTATATTTCTCGATTATATTTTATAATTTTGGTGTTTTATTTTCGTTGTTTGATTCCCAGACTCTTTTTTTATGTGTTTGTCTATTATTATTTTTCAATTTAATTAAATGTATGTGTTGAAGAAAGGGCCCCTTACCGAATTTTCTCCATGGGCCCCAAAAATGTCAGGGTCGGCCGTGTTTGAAATAAAGCAAACTAGTACAACACTCGTGTATTACAGATGTGCTTATTAAAAAATTATTCTTAAATTTTAAAATTAATGAGAAAAATTATTTTAAATTTTATTTACTTTTTTACAAAAAATATATATTATATTATTATATACTTTAGAATGACATTTGTTACTTGTGCGACTTACATGTATTATATTATAGTAATTTTTATAACTTATATCATACAACTACTTGAAATATAAATATATTCATTGATAAATAATTTTATTTTTTAATTAATATATAAAATAATTTTATTAATGTTATAAAGATAAATATAATTTATATTTTTTTCTTAGCATACAATATGAATGTTAAATCGAAATTAATAAAGAGATGATTAATTTGATATATTATATATGTAAAAACTGATAAAAAATACAAAAATTCTTAACTTTTAAAATATATTTACAATTCAAAGATTATAATAAGAAATAATATTAAAATATAATTAATACATGTAACATGACCATAAATAATCAACATATTTATGGATAATCCGAACCTAATTATTTTTTGCATTGGAAGTAAATTAAATCTACCCAAGTCTAATAACGAAGCATGTAATTTTGCCACATAGGGTCCCGAAACATGCGAGCATGTCACTTAGGCTCAGCACGTTCTGAATTAATATATAGAGGGGGTTAGATAACAAGATTTGTCATCCCCATTTGGTACATTTTAGCATATTAAAAATGGTTTAATAGAATTTTAAATTCAATATTTGATTGACTTTGTATATTCTCATTTTACTGTAAAATGGAGAGTGTATTCAAGTGGGATTTACGAAGATTTTAGAAATCTTGTATATTTAATTTAGATTTGGTAAGACTGTTAAAAGTCTTGGAGTATTCAATTGAGATTTTAAAAATTAGTCTTACAAAATCATGAGGTATGTATGAGATTTTAAAAAGTCTTACAAAATTAATGTATTTAACTTATTTGAGACTAGAGTTTTTTAAGACTTATTAAGATTTGATGAGATTTCTAAATAAAAAAGATATTATAAAAATCTTACTTCAAATCTCACCTAAGACTTAAGAAAGGTTTTACAAAATTCCTCAAAAATCTAAAAATTTTAAAAAGTCTCAAAATGTCATTTGAAATCCCAATTGAATACACCACAATATTTACATGTGGAATCCATTTATACACTTTTTAAAAATATAAGGAGTGTTTCCTTAGTTTTTTTTTTAAATAACAAATCAAAGTAGACGTGGCAATGGGCCCACTCGACTCGGAACCGGTCTGGTCAAGCCCGTTGGTCATGATCTGTTTTGGCCCGTGACTTTACCGGGCCAGTTCAGGATTGTATCGGCTTGTGATTTTACCGAGCCAGTACAAGATCACATTATAAT